TAAAGATTTGTTTTCCACAGATATCCTTTTTACAATAGGATGCCATGGGTTGAATGTAATTGTGGTTCTGTTTTATATTGTGTCATAACCTGTTGATATAAACATTAAATCTATTTATTCACTCAATCTGAATGTCCAACTTTGAAATCAAAAATACTTGTAGCGAAGCAAAACAGAAATATGATATCTGGTACTGACGTGTTTATTCGTGTCATTTCTATAAATAAAGTTTAAATATTTCATTAGTTTTCAGCAGATCGACTGTTGGTGAAACGGTGAAACGATATAGATGTTTAAAACTTTGTTTTGTAACAATCAGCAAACAGATGAAGCAATTAGATTAAACTAAATGATAAAGTAAATCGATTTTGAATTGATCAATGTCTTATTCACTCATATCAAATACCCGACTTTACAATTGCAATATTTACAAAGTACTACTTGAAGTTAAGCAAAATAGAAATATGATATTTTCATTCATTGACGTGTTGGCTTGTACGCTTTATCTGTAAATAAAGAAATGCAGACATGTTTGAATTTCATTGGTGTATAATATAGAACAATGACTCCAAGGACAGTCAAAATGATATTTAAAATCAAACATAAAATAGAAGAAGCAATAGGATTTAACTATAGGTGCAAGGCGTGTAGCCGGTACATAACCCGTCTACAACCAAATGAAATATATACATGAATGATATTACCATAAAACAATACTTAAATAGAAAATCAGTACATATAATTGTTATTTCCATATGTTTTATCAATGGATCTCGCCTCACAATTGTAGCTCGGACATATTTCTGTCTGCTCATCATGCAACATGATATTGAATGGAGTGTTGTTTTAACGTAGGAAACATTGAACTTATAATCAAGACTATTTCTTTCTATAATAGAAATGTTATTTAAGCTAAATCAAAAATTGATTCGCGATATAAAGAAGAACTACTGAAGCGACAGTTACAGTCATATCTTTGTACCATTCCAACTATATGGCAACAAACACATAATCCAATGGCAGTTCGTTATATTGCTTCACGCGTTTGTTGTTGTTATTGTTGTTTTTTTTCAAATAAGCAAAAATGATTTAATTATGTGGTCATGTAGTTACGCTCTAGAAGTTGAAATACTGAAATGCGCCAAGTATTCTTGGTAAACCTGTATTATATGCTTGGCAAATAGGTTAGTAGCGCACATAGGTCTGTTCTGCTCTTATTCAGCCAATATAGCGTATACTTAATAGTATCGTTTTATGGCTTGTTATTTACAGACTATTGACTATAAAATGAACTTATCTAGAAGATTAAGCTTCAACGAATTTGTCAGTATGTCAATAAGAAAAAAATATGTTTGTTTAAATGTTTCATTTTAATTTATATATCAAGTAAATTCAGTTAAATATCATTAAATAAACACATCATATCAAATTATGCAGAAGTCTTTGAAAACAATACACATACAAAACTGACCTACAGTCGAGCATCGGGAAAGCTTTAAAGCTGTGCTTCAATTCATCAACAGGTTTTACAAAAATCTTTTTAACTTGAAAATTATACTTGTCTCCTAAATGATTATTGTTTACAATATCGTTTTTCCAATCTTATTTCATGTAAAGTTTATATATTTCCCTTCGAAAAATCACAGATATAATTCTATATTAACCTTTTACCTTAGAAGCATATTGCGAAAAATGGCCGTTTTCATTGAAAAGCCTCCTGTAACAAGTTCAAACTGCTATGAAACTATGAAAAATTCTTCAATACTGATGAAACTTGGCACAAATGTTGACTAGACCATAACCTCTGTAACAGCATGCTCAATCGTAAATTTCCTTGTTACCATGGCAACGGGGGAACGTCTCAAAATAGCCAAAAATCACTATTTTGCATTGTATTTTTCCATCAAAACTGATTTCAAAGTGCTGCAACTTCTCAACGAATTGAAATAAAGTAAAAGGCTTTTCAGTGTCGGTTACTAGTTACCCTAAGATCGACCTGAGGCTATTTTGAGCCTGTCACATGTCCAAAATTTTCTTGGCGATGAGGGGGACTACCGCCCCCTTCCCCCCCCCCCCCCCAACAAAAGGCGACACATCCCCCTTCTGCCAGCCCCCTGATTAACATATGGGTGGGCCGGAGCCGAAAAAAGTGGTCACTTTTTTAACAACATTTCACAAACGTAAAACACTGTTTGGTGCGTGCCTAAATAGGGCATGTTTTTACTGTTTGAGGCCTCAAAAAGGGGGAGGTTAAAAAGCCGCCTAAACACGTCTATATCAGTGAAACCGTTAACAAAAAATTATGAAAAACCTTGGAATTACCAAAAACTAGTTTTCCAATGTTAACACGTGCCCGTACACCTAATTTGGGTGAAAAATTGTTGTTTATTTTGACATTTTTTTATTTTTCTTATTAAGCTCAAAGGAAAAATAGATAAATAAATTTAAAAGAATCAAGATGTTAATAAATGTCAATGGGAGAGAGATTTTACACGTAAAAAAAGTCAAAATTGTGTATTCCTTGTTTTTCAGCATATAGATATTTTACCTTTCAAAGAATATAATGTGATTAATTTTATGTTGAATTTAAAGTAGATCTAAACATGTAAACACAGAACTGTTTTATCGCACCTTATCCTTTGGTCATATAAAAAATATGACTACAGATCAGATTATACGATTGTTTCTTGTTTGGTTTTATTGAGAAACAACTTAGCTTGCATATTCAAAGATAAGTATTGTTGGCTCAGTGTGAAAAACAAATGTCTCATCACCCGAAATTTTTGACGAGGTTTGATTGTTCGGCAGTGGCAAAATAAAATGATATCTAATATTGTCTGAAAATTACTTTGAGAATAATATAAAGTTAGATAACACAGTATTCATTAAACAATTTTATTTTAAAAATTGTAACCCAACTATGACAAATGCTTAAAGTTTAACAGTTTTGTAGCTACATAATACAGGGAATTTTTACCAATGATAATTATATCAAGCTCTGAACATTTAGGTATTTCTTATGTTATTATAGAGTTGAAATTAATGTTCAAAATGTCTAACTAAATTGATGGTATGAATAATTTCACGCATCGAAAATCTCCATTTTCATTTTTAAAGATGAACAGGCAAAGAAAAGAAGCAAGCAGTGCCATTTTAAAATTTATAAAAGCAATTTGATTTATTTATAATTAAGTACATGATGTATATAAAAATCCCTTAGCTAAGCCTTTCTTTGTCATGAAATCTGATGCAAATTGTTTTGGAAAAGTTATTATATACATGTACTTATAATAAGCCTCTAACAGTTTACATATTCTTTTTTTAGGTTTTTTCCGAGCTTATAAGATGTGCCAATGTATATTTATAATGCTTTAGTTGGAAAGACCAACGTTTGCAAATAATGGCTTCATATAGCCCTAAACTGAAAGACAATAAATTTATTATAAAAAGTTATTATATACATGTACTTATAATAAGCCTCTAACAGTTTACATATTCTTTTTTCAGGTTTTTCCGAGCTTATAAGATGTGCCAATGTATAATTATAATGCTTTAGTTGGAAAGACCAACGTTTGCAAATAATGGCTTCATATAGCCCTAAACTGTTAGAAAAGAAATACAATAACTGGGTTAAAGCTCAGTTAGCTGTTTTGATTACTAAAGAAGGAGTTGAACCTTTTGTTTGTAATGAAATTCAACGATTTCAATTGAAATGTTTACATGATATATGCTACTTGAATGGCTTATTTAGTGGGACTTGTTGTTCAAGTTGCTGCACTGAAAATGTTGTTAATTGCCCTACTGACAAAATATGTAATGCCAGGCGTGGAAAATGTACGTATCATCGAAATGTTGCAACACGGTACAATTCCTCTGGCTGTCCTAACAAGATATGTCATAACTTCAAAACTGAAATACAGAATGCACATAGATACAACGGTCCGTCTTACAAAAACACTGATGCTACCCAGTGGTGCAGTAATTTCTGGGAAGTAGCGAAATGCTTCATGCCCCCAGATGGGTATAAAGAAAAGGCATCTGCATCAGAAACAGACTTCAATGGTATAATCAGCGTTATCCTTAATCACAAAGACTTCCAGGGAAAAGTCCATGAAAACCTCAATAATAAGATAAATATATTTGAAGAGGTAAACAATATTTCGATACTATTTGATAATATGAAGACTTATATTTAGTACTTGATAGTAAAACAGAACATTAAAATAGTTTTATGATTCATTTTAACGCTAAGGTATGCTATATAAATGGAGTTTTTATCATGCTTTCTGTAAAGATACTAGTAAGGAATGATTGTTTAATATCATTTAACAGTATGTTAGTTTTCAGTATACTTCATAATTAACTTACTAAGTATAAAGCTAAATATTTGCTGCAAAAATTGTAGCTTGAATTTTGAAAACGAATGTTTCTTAAATTCCTGTATGACAGAAATATGTATAGTTCCTTAAAAGCGAATGGTGCTTGTACGAAATCATTGCTACATAGTTAAAGCTGCATGCCTCAAGATGAGCCAAACACATTTTTCAATAATATCAATATGTTATGTTGGATAAATATCTTTTAATATATTTTGCAGCATTTATCACCACATTTCTTCTGCGTGACTAATACATATTTCAAAATTATAGTGTCAAATAGCAAACATCTGGAGGCATGCAGCTATAAATGAGCCGCGTCACGACAAAACCAACATAATGGGTTTGCATCCGCGCAGTCTGATCAGGATCCATGCTGTTCGCTATCACTTTCTCTACTTGTTATAGGGTTTGTAAGCGAACAGCATGGATCTTGATCAGACTGCGCGGATGCGCAGGCTGGTCTTTATCCATGCTGGTCGCAAACCCATTATGTTGGTTTTATCGTGACGCGGCTCAAATATCTTCTTTAGATATCGGCATAATATTTTTTCCTGAATATTTAATTCTTTCTGTTTACGAACAATATTCATGTGTGTTAAATAACAGATACTTTAGATATATACCTCATAACAAATCAGCATTAAGAATTCAATGCAATTTTATTGTTAATACATTTAATAGAAATATTTTATTAGATATAGCTTTATACTCTATAAATGTTAAAGATAAAATTAAATAAGAACCGTTATTCTATTTTGACCAGGCACGGGAAATTGGAAGAATTGTACAACATTCATCAACATTTGATGTAGAAGATTCAGATCTTCAGAAATACTTCCATTTATTACGGCAACTACTTTCTGACCCCGTATATCTAGCTACAGACACACATGCGCAGAAAGCAAAACAGAAACTTATGCAGGTGATTGAAATAATATATTACTAAATTCGTTACATATGTCGTTGTATGACTAAATCACCATGCATTTCGTGTATAATCTACTTAAAAGTGTACAAATCTTATTAAATAATCTTTATTTGAATTTTTGAACAAATCATGTTTTTCCATGATGGAAAAATACTGCTTCCCATAAGTAATGGTCGATTCTCAAAAGCGTAGCTTACACTGCCTGTTTTTTGCTGAACACGAATATTGTACATGATAAAATGTGCTCGACAAGATGAAGGCTGGATTAGATGAGCAATATGACGGAATTGAACTAGATATGATAAAAAGTAAACGATTAACACTGCTATCGCCTGTGTCCCAAACTGCCGTAGAAATGACACAGATACCAGTTCGCTGTTATTAAATGATGACCATTTTACAAATGCTCGTAAGGAAATACAAACATTTTTTTTGTGTGAAATGAAATCTTATAGCCTAGTAAGAATATTCAATTATAACTGTTCTATGCTAAAGATTTATACTAATTTTCAAAAAAAAACCTTTGGTTTGTAAGCAAACCTGGTTACGCCCTTCATACTATTACCCGACACATTAAAACACACTACTTTTGTTTACTGCAATTGGCAAAGTTTTGCTTGATACTTTTTAAACTATCATACTTTTGTCGAGCATACAATTTACAAATCAGTTATGACAAACATTGCACACTTGTTACAAATACATACTGTAGATACAATATATCTTTGAAATTTACAATTTATAATTAGAATATTGATTGAGATTGTATATTCTATGGTCTTTTTAATTACAGTTAGAAAATGACACTCTTGTTATTGGTAAAGATGATATAAGGAAAGTACCAGACGATGTGCTCGACAAGATGAAGGCTGGATTAGATGAGCAATATGACGGAATTGAGCTAGATATGATAAAAAGTAAACGATTCAAACTGCTATCGCCTGTGTCCAAAACTGCCGAAGGAGTGAGACAGATACTAGATTGTGCTGATGCTTCTGTGAGAAGAATAAATGAAGAAAGGGACAAAGCAATTTTTAGAATTAAACCAAGCGATAAAGAGCAAACAGACCTGGCTGAATTAGGAGAGACGTTACAAAAGGAACTGAAGACAACAAGTAAAGCCGAGAAGGAAAAGCATTATATTGATTTTAAACAAAGTAAGTGACATAACAATATTTGTTTTCCATGTTATATATCTATTACGTATTTCTTTGTAGTTCACGCCTTATTAAATATACCACTGAAACTTCATGTTTTTACCTCATGATATTATAAGATCATTCATTCATTATTGGATCTAATCATATAATCAATTAGTTCTTATCTTTTACATTTCCCGAATCCGAAAATCTGTATCTAATGCATATTGTACTCAATCTAACCTTGCTTTCACAAGTTCAAATCGAAGCCATATCAAACTCATGTTGTAAAACATCTATCCACGTTTTCATTTTCCGAGTCAAAATGTCCAGATCAAATCCATATTTGACTGAAAATAACAGCATCTGCAATATACAATTTTGTTAATATAGTAAAGTGTTGATTTTATGTCTTATCTTTAATTTAATGAAGCATACAAGGTTAAGATAACGAGTTCGTTATACTTTGTTGAGCACCATACTGATTCTAGCTAGTATATTCTATCACAGTACTACATGTAATATGAGATTACCAGAACCAAAACCAAGGCCGACGCAGAAAAAGATAATGCGTAAACGAAATGCATTGACTTTATTTGGTTAAGAATGATAGCCAATAAGAAAGCGTCGGTAGGTAATAGATAAATAAATAAATAAATAATTGTCAGATAGCGTTATTTAGTCAATATGGTTGAATAAGACGCATAATTTACGATTTACTACAAAATGCTTGAAGTCTTAAATGTTAATTATACATGATTTTAAATAAGACATGTTTTACTTTGCCATTCTTAAAAAAAATAATGATTAAAAAATATAAATAAATAAATAAATATATAAATAAATTATTAAGTAAGTATGCAAGATCATATATACTTTAAAGGCACATTATGCCTCAGGAATGCATTTACTTATTTAAGTATTAAGACATATCAAACATGTGTTTCATAATGTTTAACAACTGGATAAAGAGCATGTTAGATGTCTCAACGCTGTTCTGAAAGTGCTCTGAATGTACCGTTATGTTCCGTAAACGTAGCAAAATGTAAAAAACATAGTAGTATATTAAATTCCATACAAAATACTAACTCACAGAAACAGTAACTATACCATACTATGTTGTCATCATCATAAAGAAGGTAAGATTGATCATCTATATGGCAAATGGCAAATTAGTATTTTTTTTAAACTATAGCTAGATACCAAAAATTTAAAGTTTTTGAAAATTAAAATCATAGCATTTCTGAGGCATAATGAGCCTTAAACATATATCATCTTTGTACTTCAGGACCATTTCTAAATTTATTGCTCTATTGGATTTACCTTTTCCTTCTAAAAGAAAGATTATGTTGATGTTTTCCGATCTCCTTATACGACATAAATAGAACTTGCAAATGTCTGTAGTTTACTGAGATTTCATATCGTGGAACAAGGTCAAATTACTTCATGCATAAACATGCTGCCTCCACCTAAAGGGGGAATAACTTGCATTTGGAATAAACTGCTTCGGTAAACCATCGGAATTAATAACAAGGTTAAGCTTCAACAAACGTAAATAACAGCCTTTTATATAGTAAAGCAAGGTCACGCGTTTTATTTTGGTTAGATTTGGTAATATATCCCAAACTAAACAGTGATTTTATCGCTCAATAACATCACTATTTGGAGTTCGGATGCGAGGAATTATATCACTAGGGCGTAGCCCGAGTGATATAATGATGCGCATCCGAACGACAAACAGTGATGTTATCAAGCGATAAAACCACCGATTTGGATACTATATTATTTCGATTCTAACACGACATCAACAAATAAATGCTGCCGTAACTGATATTAAGCTAAATTGCGCCTGACTTGTTTCCGTACTTATTTTCAGCGCGTCGCATTTTTTGTGTGGTTACGTTACATGTATAATGATAACGTCACATGTCTAAATATAGAACGCCAATAGTGATTCTCTTGCATAATAACACACACTTTCGGTTCTTCTATGTTCAATAGGGAAAAGTGCAGGTCGTGTTAGAATGTCTTATATATACCTTGTTTATGCCAAAATTTGTCTTGATGATTTGGTTATGACGTAGTTTAATCGTGATATAATTAATGTCCAAGTAACAAGGACAAACCATTACGAACTTTTGTCACCTCTGTCTGTATATATAAGTAAGACACATAGAGTCGGATTCCTTGTACAAAACGACATAGACTTAAGCGCGCCCGTCCTGTCATATTATAAAACAAGTACAATTTGTACGGGCGTTATTGTATTTTCGTGTCGAAACGCTTCCCCTTTAATTACAACAACTGAGCTGATTAAACAGACATTCGTCTTGGCATGCTGTGCCCAAGCGTAAGCAGGCGTAAAACATCGTTATTGTTCATAGTCTATAATAAAGATTTTCTTTATATCCGTATAAATAAACACACGATAATAAATACAATGTTCTCTTGTCATATTAAAACATACAACTGACTGCGTCACAACCAAAACCTTACACACAAGTATATAATCACACACATGAAATAAATGCATTTCAAAATTAACATATCTATATGTATCTTACATCAAACAATTAAAAATACATGCCCACCTTCTAGTTTTCTGGCGAAAAGCCCTGTGCTTTTCATCTTTTTGTCGCGAAAATGAATGACAAAAATAGCGAATTACGCCTATTTGAAAACTGTACAATATATCGAAATCAAATGAAATTTAAATCAGATACAACCACAAAAATCAATTTTACTTGATAACTGAAACAACAATACTAGCTAGCCACTGAAATTTGAGAAATAGCAACTTTAAATATTTAGAAGCTCAGTACAAAATGGTCTTTTATCTGAACGACCGAAACTGTGTACTGCCTCGTAATGCGTTTACCTCACCAGCCATGATTTATTGGTGATGGTTATAAAAAGGCAAGTGTGCCGTTCCAACACGAATGAAAAGAAAGTATTCCAGACCTATTACCTTTCTTTGCTTTCTGCATTTATAGTTCTTTTTTGACCACGCATTCATACAGTTTCTTGGTATTAAGTAAGTTTTGTTACATTTTATCCAGGTGCACTGGAAAGGTGAATAACACCATTTACGGGTAGAATAGCAAAATCAATAAATTACATTGAAAGGAATTTTAGAAAAATAAAAGTTAATAAGTTATGTGTTATTAATTTTGTAATTTCTTCTTTTTGAGTTTTGTATCAAAATAAAACATGGCTAAGACGTTATTTTTTATAATAATTAAAGCTGCATGCCTACAAATGAGCTAAAATATTCAAAAAAAATAAAACTTTAGTAAAAATACTGAGATTTTAAGAAAAGTAAAAAGATTCGAGATAAAAGTAATAATTTCTATGTTTGGTAGTTAATATGGGTTGTTTATGCTGTTTGCAATGGAAAAAAATTATTTTCTTTGTTCACTTCACAAAATTTAACTTTTTTATACATTTTCAACATTTTCATGATAATAAACATGAATCTGGAGGCGTGCTGCTTTAATATTTGTAAAAAAGGGTAAAATCGTTATTACAATAATAACAATCACAACTGCTAAATTAAGCTCAAATCCTTATAACAGCATGATGGACGAAAATTTTCGGTTTAATTATTGATGATAATTCCCACATTATTACATTTAAAACATTTATGAAAAGCTTTATGTTTAAGAAATATTCATATCTATTTTTTTTTTAAAATCTAATATTATTACATATTATCTTTTGTTTATTTTAAATTCTTTAGTACTAGCACATGTTTCCATTTTATATTTCAGAGTCAAAATTAAATTTGTCCAATACAACTGCTAAAATAAAATGGAGTGATCTTCATGACATCAATTCGTATATGAAAAAGCATTACAGAAAGGTAGATAAGGAAGAAAGAACCAGCTGGATGCGTTCACAATCAATACATTTGATGCCTGTTGTAAATGATTTCGAGGAAACACGTGAGTGTAGAACTATGACAGGTTACCAGAAGTTCCTGCATACCCAAATACATGAACTATATGACTTGCAAAACACGTTTATGTCGTGGTTACAAGAAAGTCCTGAAAGTGAAAATATTCAAATATTTTTACAAGATTTCTTCATTGACGAGAACACCGAGCACAGTGCTCAGTTACAACGTTTGATAAAACAAAATAAAACAAACATAAAATCACTTCACATAGACATTAGTAAAACTGCCAACAGTTTAGGTGAAATTATAGATTTATTCTCTCTCACAGATCTCAGCCATGTAGAGAAACTTTACTTTCGTGGTAACAAGGAGGAGTGTGAGATAGATCGGTTGTTTTTTCCCAGTTTACAGGTCTTGACTTTGTCATGGGGAAAATGGTCAAATGATGAAAAATATCCGATGGAAAACTTAGCACGATTACAAAATTTGCAATATTTAGATATTGAATGGTTCACGATATCTCACAAAATATTGGAAACTATTTTCTAATTTATCTCTGGTCAAAACTCAATAAAAGAGTTAACATTGAACTGGTTAGACTGTAAAGAACACGGCAGCCATGATTGTAAGAGATTGGACTTAGACTTGACTAAGAATTCAACCCTTACAAAGTTATACTTCCAATGGTTCTCTACGTTACGTCTGAATATAACGACACCGTCGTTAGTTGAGGTTACGTTATGGGGAATCAATATTGATGAAAATCCATTACTACTGTCACGTGACATGTTGAATATTGAACTTGTGCAATTGAGGGAGATAGAAATGTCTGCAGGAAGTTTACAGAACTTTATTACCGTGCTGAAAAAACTGCCGCAGTATGTTACAGTAAAGATGGCCGACATTAAACCGAATAAAGAATATAATCTTGTAAGAGAAAATATTCAGCGTTCAAAAACTCTTTATGTCATACAGGACAAAAATTGGGATATTGTATTAAAAAACAACAAAGCTGCGTACAGTACAAATCTTTCTTAGATAAACTGCAAGATTCTGTTTTGAAGGAACTTTACATACAAAAAAGCGATTCTTCAAACTACTTAGCTATCTCGTGGCCACGACTTAGTAACTCGTGGCCACGACATAGAATCTCGTGGTCACGACT